TCAGCCTTACGCTATTTACTATTAATACGAGCGCGCGTTCGTGCTCGTCACTACGGTATCCACGCGCGCTAATGCTAAAGAGCGTAACTTTGAAGCCTCTTAACTCGAAAAGTACTTAACGAAAAAATACTTAAGTATAGTTTTTTGGAAAGCTCTCGAGATAAGCTACAAGAATATATAATAAAAAATGGGGGTATCTATTTAAAAACATCATTGTGACCTTGACCTGATCTTTATGACGCAACTCAAGGTCAAACTGCTAATATCATAAAATATATCTTTCTTAACCCTACAACTTTTGTATTTAACATTTTTTTATACAACGCTTTGCTTTCGAGATATTCAGGTGTTCCGGTATATAATATTCACCCTGTATATATACATATAATACTAATATAATAAAACGTAGGGTCCAAAGAACACACTGAATGCATGTATACATACATCATCTTCCATACAACTGTCAGGTCAATTCGCATTTCCCTCAACGTAGTCGAGTCCAATTGCAGATATCACGCGCCGCTCAATATTCTGCAATGCAGGTTCATTCCTCTCCGCTCCATAGTCCGGAGTCCGGAGATTTTAGGTTAGCTCCGAATTGGCCCGTCTAGGCGGGCGGCCGGGGGAAGGGTTGGGGTATGGGATATGGTGGGGGGAAGAAGAGAAGTGTTGTTGGGAGGAAGGGGATTTTTAGAGGAAGGGATGTGGGGGTGTGAATGTGGGTGGGCGTATATGTATATATATGGGATTAAGGGGGGGTTAAGAGGGATGTGGGGGTTTTATCCCCCCTCCATGGCCGCCACGCCGGGTAAGGGCATTTCCCCATGATTGGGAGGGGAAACCCTCAGTTGGGATTCCCCTCTAGCCTATATCTGAGGTGGGTGGGAGGGGGGCGGAGACGCTACCTGTGAACCCGCCTCACTTTTCTCCGCGGCTCGTCGTCCTCCTCATCCCCCCCGTAGAGGAGATGGAGGGGGGGGGGGTCGGTACAACCTCCGCCTCCCCCCTCCTAACTCTTTCGGCAGCCTCCTTCTGCTTCATGACGGTGGAGCAGAAGGAGGCCACCGCCTCCCAAGCCTCCCTACTCTCGACCATGGTTTTGACCACGACCGGAAGCGAGAGGTCATTGCTCACCACTGCGATCAGGACGTCCCGCTCGGCAGTCGACGCCTGGCAATCAGCCAGGGTGTGCTGCACGGTGTCCTGATCGGCCGCACAGTGGTGGCAATGCGCCATACGCTTTTTACTTATGCGACACAGGTATTCACCGAAGCAGCCCGGTGAGCACCTGTGTCAGGTGGAAGTTCAACCCGCCGTGGCCCCCTCTCCACCCATTCGAGAAGACAGGGGCGGATGGCCTCGATAGTCCGCCTGCTCGGCACGTTGGGTCCCCCGAGTTGCTTCTTCCAAAGTAGGAGGGACCTGCGCTGAGCCAGGGCACGGATCTGTCCTATGGTCCCGGCCGACGTTTCAGCCCCCTCTTTGCGACGCTCCCTCAGGCGGGCGTACATATCAGCGTACGAGAAGCGTACCCTAGCGAGAAGCTCCGCCGGGAGCATGTCGGCCAGGACCGTGACTGCCGCATACGACATGGTCCGATAAGCTCGGGTGAGACGGTTGGCCATGACGCGCTGGGCGCCATAAACTAGCGCCTTGATGCGCCGATTGGCCCCCATCTCATCCGCCCACACCGGGGCCCTATACAAGACCATGGAGTGGGCCGTGTTGGCATACAGCCGTCTCACCATTGCCCGTGGACCATCGAAATTGGGCAGGAGGCAGGCCAGCGCGTCCGCCACCCTGCCCAGCCTAGGGCTCAGTCGTTCGAAGTGTTCGACGAAATGCCAAGTTCCACCCAAGGTGAAGCCCAGGTACTTTAACCCGGACCCCACCTCTACGCGGGTGTCTCCCACCATAATGTGGGCCCGAGGGGGCGGCTTCCCAGACCCGGCGTGTAGAAAAATCGCCTCGGTCTTATGGGGTGCCATCCTCAGGCCAAGTGCCCGGATCGAGCGTACGGCCACGTTAGCCAGGGCCGTCGCTTCCCCCTAGTCGGTGCTCCCGGACAGCACCAGCGTGTCGTCAGCATAGCAGACAACTGCGCTACCCGGGGAAAGGCTGTCTTAAGAACGCGGTCGTAGGCGGGGTCCCATAGCAGAAGCCCCAGAACCGACCCTTGCGGGACCCCGCACCGCATGCCCCTTCCGTATTGGAGTCCGGCGCGGTCGACGAACTCCACGCTCCTCTCCCGGAAGTATGCCCGGACAATGTGGATCAGGTAGAGGGGGAAGGATGGTACCGCATCGCCTTCTCCACCCGGTCCCAAGGAAGGGAGTTAAAGGTGTTCGTTATATCCAACGAGATCGCCACAACTACCCTCCCCTGTTCCACCTGCGCCTCCGCGAAGGCGTATGATCGCGTCCACCGTGGAGCGGCCCACGCGGAAGCCGTATTGCGCGTCGCTAAAGTCCGGACCCTGTCGAGAGAGGTGCCGGACGAGGCGGGCCACAACGATTCTGTCAAAGAATTTCCTCATCTCGTTCAATAGACATATAGGCCTATACGCGGAAGGAGCACCCGGGGGCAAACTCTCCTTGGGAATGAGGATCAGCTCCACCCTTTTTTACCGAGTGAAAAAGGTGCCCGTCCTGAGGCACCCATTAAAGAGGCGCCTCAGGCAGGTTCCAATGTCGGCCAAGACCAGAGCCCATGCTCGGCCCGGGACCCCATTCGGCCCAGGGGTTTTTTCGCCCCTCTGAGCCGGCGAGCCGCCCGGGCCAGCTCGTCCCCGGACACCTCCCACTCCTCGTTCCAGTTCAACAGAGGACCCTCGTAGAGGCAGCGGTCCCTCATCCGGGAAGAGGGTCCCCACCACATTATTGAGGAGTGCGGGGTCCAAACTTTCGGTGACCGGGAGCGCCCAGGGTCTAAGTCTACGCAACACTAGCCTGTATGGGGGCTTCCAAGAGTCCCTATCCAGGGACTTGAGCATGTCCTCCCAAGCCCTGACCTTGGCCTTCATTATGGCTACGCGCAGGAGCTTCCGTGCAGCCTGGAACACCCTGCGCGCTTTCGTCGTTTCCGCGACGTCCCCCGCCCTTCTGGTCCGCTGCATTCGTCGCCTGGCCTGGACGGAGGAGCGTCTGAGAACGGCTATCTTTTCCGTCCACTAATACGCGGACCTGAAAGACATGGGGCGGACTCGGGGCATGGATGCATTACACGCCCTGTCCATGTCTGAGTTCTTCCGCCTCCTCCTTCACCTCAGCCTGCTCCCGTAGAAGGGAGGAGAACCCTCCCCCCGGGGACCACTCCGTCGCCACTATGGACGCTCGAAGGGCACCCGCGTCCATCTTCCGGAGGTCCCATCTACTAGACCGCCCCCGCTCCCTGTCCCGGCGGCGCCTGAGTACCTCGGGGGGAACAGCGGAGAGGACCACCTCTATATAGAGGTGGTCGGATCCTGTGTCCGTTACCTCCGCCAGCTTCCATACCCCTACCGCGCGCGCCGCAGGGCCATTGACCCAGGTGAGGTCAATGATAGATTCGCCCTGTGGGCGCACACAAGTGCTCATCGAGCCTTCGTTCAAAAGACAAAGGCCCGTCGACGCCGTCCAGAACTCGGTGAGCCGACCACGGACATTTGTGGCCGGGGAACCCCACGCCCTGGATTTGGCGTTAAAGTCCCCGGCCACCACCAACGGGTGAGGGGCGCATCGTCTGACGACCCCTGACACCCGGTCCAGGTGCGTTTCGTAGTCGGCTCTGTTCCATCTTGGGGGAGCGTAGAGGGCAACCACTACAAGGGCCTCCTATTTCACCGCTACCAGGAACTCCTCGGCCGCAATGAGCTCCGGCCGGGGAGATTCCTGACATCACCTCCAGTAGATGGCGACCGAGCTCCCCGAGACCCCGAACCAACGTGAGTCGTCAGCTGGGATCCGGTAGGGCTCGGCCGCAACGCCCAGACCTGCCCTGCGTTCAGCCAGCGAATGCAGGAACAGGTCTTGGGCGATCCTTGTATGGCCTAAGTTGGCCTGGAGGAGTTTAGACGCCATTGGTAGTCACTGGGTTCATCTCCTCCAGGTTGGCCCCCTCTGCTGTTACGGGGGCTTTGTCCGCCCCCGTTCCCCTTCTGTCGGGGGAGTCTCCTCCATCTGCACCTCGGTGAGGACCTCTGGGTCCTCGGGTGCAGATGGGCAGGCCTTACCATTTTTGGGCCTCCTGGGCTCCCTTCTCTCTTTCGAGGGAGGGTCCAGTTGACCCAACACTGAGGGTCCGGCAACCGGTTCCCGGAGGACCGGGGGCTGCTGCTGACCGCCTTCCTGGGGGGATAGGGAGAGAGGCGAGGTTCGGGTTTTCCCCGCCCCTTTGTTTCTCCCTTTCCCTTTCTTTTTCTGAGAGGGGATGCACGCCTTCCCTCCCAATCTATGGACGATCTCCTTTACTGCCGTGGAGCACGCCGGACACCCCAGGCGTCCGGTGCATTCCGCGGCTCGATGACCCGGGCCACCGCAGCGGTAGCACATCCCGGGCCGGTCGACGTCGCTGCGGCAGTGCTGGCGGACATGTCCCTCTTCCAAACACCGGAAACATTGCAGAGGCCTTGTCTCATTTCAATCATTAGGAATTTTGTGACATACTCTCTCCAAAACATAACTCCAATTTTGACCTTAGCTCTTTAAAACTAAAATTTTCTAAATCTTTTATCGACTCCAAAACTGCACACGCCCTTCCCCTTAAGTTTGAAGCAAGTGCGATAGTCTTTGACGTTTCATCCCATTGATTTGCGCGCGCAACTAAATCAAATTGAGAGAAATATTCTCGCAAAGGAATTGAATCATCAAAAGTATCCAGTTTTAATTTGAGACCCAATCCTATACGCGTCCCAGTCTCTCCCGAAACGTTTTCTCTCGTGAAAACCATATTCGCTCTCTCATCCCGATTCGAAATATTAATGGGGGGGACTTAGCTGAGCATAGTGACGACGCTGTAACTCCTCATCACACCGACGAGCACTTCTGCAAATTCCTTTCGCATCCGTGTCCGTTCCTCTCGCATTTCTCCGAACTCACGCAACAACGCTCGGAGATCCTGTTAGCTTCCCTTGAAGAAGACCCTAACTCTTGTATCCCTTCCGGTTCCGGAAAATGCGACTCTCCTTCTGCGGAAGCCGACGCTATAGCTGCTGCCTGACTTCGAGTCCTCACTAGAGAATGTACCAACGCCATTCCCTTTTTTTCTTTCTTTCACCACACACAAAAAAACACACGCGACCGACCCGAATGGTTTTCAAGCTCTACTGAATGTTTTTTTTTTTTAATATATCCCGGACGAGTCCCTAAAATGTTACACTCGCGAGCGCGGGGGAAAGAACTGCAACAGTTAAAAAAAAAAGTAGCCTTTATTCTTTGAGCAGAAAAGAATACGCCGGGAAAACCGTTCTCTCTTAGTCAAAACGTCCGCACGTTGCTGAAACTGTCAAGAGACTCCCTTCAGCTTTCAAAACAAACAGCACACCGACCGTTGCTAAGAATCACTTGTAAGCCGCGGATTTCAGGAGCGACATGAATACGGCGCCTCGATGCGCAACAATATATTATATTATATTATATTATATATTATATTATATTATATATTATATTATATTATATATTATATTATATTATATATTATATTATATTATATATTATATTATAT